AAGTTAGGGGTTAGGGGTTGAGGTTAGGGTTAGGGTTAGGGGTTAAGGTTAGGAGTTAGGGTTTTGGGCTTGGGGTTAGGGTTAGCGGTTAGGGGTTAGGGTATAATAGTGTTAGGGGTTAGGGTTTTGGACTTGGGGTTAGGATTAGGGGTAAGGGTTAGGATAAGGGGTTGGGGTAAGGCTTAGGGGTTAGGGATTAGGGTTAGGTTTAGGGAATATGGTTAGGAGTTAGGGTTTTGGGCTTGGAGTTAGGGGTTAGTGTTAGGGGTTAGGGTTTGGACTTGGGGTTGGAATTAGGGGTTATTGGTTAGGGGTTAGGGTTAGTGTGAGGGGTTAGGGTAAGGGGTTATGGTTAGGGTTAAGGGGTTATTGGTTAGGGGTAGGGGTTACGGGTTGGGGTTAGGGTTAGGTGTTAGGGTTTGGGGTTAGGGTTAGGGTTTTGGGTTAGGGTTTAGGGTAAGGGGTTTGGGTTTTGGACTTGGGGCAGGGTTAGGGGTAGGGGTTATTGGTTAGGGTTAAGGGTTAGGGTTATTGGTTAGGGTTAGGGGTTGGGGTTAGGGTTAGGGGTAAGGGTTAGGAGTTATTGGTTAGGGGTTAGGGTTAGGGTTTTTCGCTCAGGGTTAGGGTTTTGGGTTTAGGGTTTGGGTTAGGGCTAGGGTTAGTCAGTGGAACTATACAAAAGGCAACTTTTCCCCAAAACTCACTCCTTGCAAGCATTGATGTTGTCTTCTTGCACACCAACATTCACCAGGCGCAAGCCATTGAATCGGTATGCAAAGCCTACAACACAACAAACTTCGGCTACGCCATAACCAACCCCCCATCCAACTACATCTGCATTCTCCTAGAACTTGTTCTAGGCTGCAACTATTTTCAGTTTGGAGGTAAATTCTTCAGAAAGAAAATCGGACGTGCAATGGGATCAGTAGCAAGCCCGGAAATTTGCGACATAGTTTTATACAAATTTGAGCCAGAAAATAGGAGGCAGTTGGAAAAGAACTCGCACTTCCTTCGGCAGATATTTCCCTAACTACTGCAAATATGGATATAAAACGTATATTAATAGATAGGGGAACATGTGGCCTTTCAGGTGATACCTAGAGTTACATAATTTTCAGACCGTTAAAGGACCAAAAAGTCTCCGATTTCTTGACAGGGGCTGGCTCCAAAAATGGAGCTGCGACCCAGTTTTTATTCATTTTTTGTTTATTTATTTTTATTTTTTCCCATTGGAAAATTTCACCACCAACACTGAAATAGACTGGCCCCCTCACTATTTACAGTTTAAAAGCGTTTATTTACATCCATAAAGGCCAAAAGAGTCTCCGGTTTCTGCGGAGCGTGCGCGTCGCCGTAGACCTGCGCGTCTATCTGCAATGCAAAAAAGTTTTTATTCGGTATATAAGATGTCTGAAAGCTGCCAAACCTGCTTGGCTGACTGGAATCGTGCTTTTGCGTAATTTTAATGCATTTAAGATAAGGTGCGGTTGAGCAAAGGAGTCCCTCTAGCCCCATACATTCAGTTGGGCACTCTTTTTCGGACGACGTCATTTATGTATGTTACATTTACATGTGGGCACCAGACAAACAAGGTGGTCTTATGTCCTATGTGCACCCACAAGCTAAAAATGCTTCTCAACAGTAAATAGTGAGTGGCCATTCTATTTCAGCGTTAGTAGCGGTGGTACGTAACTATGTACGTGTGCATATATATAAACAAGCGTACTTCATTTCTAGAAAAAAAGTTGGTCCCCCACCCAAAAAACGGTCGAGTCGCAGCACCACTTTTGAAGCCAGTCCCTAACCCGAAACCAGAGACTTCCATTTCCATCGCTGCAATATTGCCTTGTACGATCTGTTCACCTTATATTGTAACCGAGTATTAAACTACGTGTACGTGTATTTAGAAATTTAAATCAGGACTGACGTCCATTCGGCCAAAAGGCTTAATTGTTTTCATACTTTCAACAGGGTTTCCAATAGTCACACCCTCGGTTGTGCAACTTTATCTCTGACGTCTACCTCTGGAAAGCATATAGGGGCAATCACTGTGGATGTTTGTCCATGAGAAAGAATTGTGTAATACCTGTAAGTGCATAAACCACTGCAAAAGAGCCACTGTCCCGGCATACCAAACCTTGTTTGTATTATGGTAAATTTGGATGTTTATATCCAACTTGGAAAATGCAGGGTAATGCGGATGATAACGTTTGCTGTGAATTTTGCTTCTACTCCACGTTACAAATAATCCTCCTGCAATGTTGGATATTAATTTAATAGCTGGGTAGATCATGTTGAGCATTTTATCGTCAATAGTTGAGTTTGCCTGATTTTTGGAACGTTGCTATCGGATCGCATTGG